GAACGGAGGGCTGAGCCGGACTGTTCCGTCCAACTTTTGTTGGCTTATCAGGGGCAAGAGGGTAACACAGACCGGTGTCGGGCGGCTCCACCCTTATCGCCCGCCGCCCTTACTTCCCTAATTTTTGCAAAAGAATGTCCTATTAAAATAATCAATTTTGGACAAAAATGACAACCTACCAATTGGCATTTTTGGGGATATCAGGAGTGTTCACAGATTGCCGCTATACCAAAACGCTACTTCAGAGTCGTATAAAGATGGCCATGAGGGCCTATGACGGACCTCGAAATTGGCGTCCCTAAGACCAGTCCATGAATACGGGAACAGACTTGGCATACCATGGACTAAGCCTCAGACGGGCCTGTGCGTGAAGGACCAACCTGGAGAGCGGAGGGTCAATTCACAGAGGACCGGTCTAAAGTGTGGAGGACCAGCCTAATGCACGGAGGACCAGGATAAATTCACGAAGGACCGGCCTAATACCCACAGGACCGGCCCGAAGCACGGAGGACCGGCGCAGTATCCGGAGGACTGGGCCCTAAACAGCGTGGAGTGGGCCCACAGGGTGTCATGCGGACATGGGCAGGGGAACCGGGCCAAAGTGACCGTTGGGAAGTACCGAAGGAGGCTGTCCGGAACTATAAAGTGCCAACAAACTATCCAGAACGGGGGGGGGCAGGGCAGTGTCCTGGTCTCACACATGCACGGAAGCCCTGCGCCCCTGCGCACACAGCAGTGCATGAGCGAGAATAACTTTCTGGCCAGTGCTGAGGTTCAAGAAGGCGCACGAGGAAACGAACAGACACCAATCAAACGGAGAATCTAATCAGCGCACAAGAAACTCGGGAGGGCGGCACACGCACGGGGCGCTGGTCTGTGCCCCGACCAACGCTCGAAGGGGGCCTTCCCCTCCGTCCCACGAGGCCACGCCCAATCTGGTACGAGGGGGAAATCCTATCACGAACGGGGATCATGCACCCAGGATGTAGGCCGCACTCGAGACGGTTAATGAGTGAATCAAAAGAGGAGCGGCTTTTTAGCCAGTAGGACAAGGGGGGATGCCCGTGCAGACCATGCACGGCGATCTAGACTACATACAAAAGGGGATTTTCCCCTGGCTAGCCATGCGCACAGAGTAATGAACGCAAGGCGTTATCACAACGAGAGAGGAACTCAGAGGATACTTATCAGAACAGAGGCGAGAAGGGCAGGCCAGCGCACGAGGAACGCTGAGTACTCCTCCCAGTTCGACAAACTAACCAAGAAGAGCTTGGTTTCCTAAAGCGCACCAGGCAGAACTTGGTTTCGAGGCATGGGGAAACCAATCAATGTACGGAAACTCTGACCGATGGATGGGGGTTCTAATCAATGCGCACTGAACTCGCACAGAGATAGACAATAAGAGGCTCATCTTGTTTCCAATCAGGTGAAGCCCACGAGCCGTGTAGATCTAAGAGATATGGTATTGCATCTTTCCATGAACTAGCTGAAGATTCATTGGTGCGCTGCGCTCAGAACACTGCAAAACGAAAACGAGAATTAGGAGAGCTGCTCCACCACACCGCCCGCCAAGTGTCTGGCAGTATATTTTTCCATGCTCTTGCGGAAAAATTCATTCCTAATTCCCTGGCCTGGTTGCGTAAACGAGCAGCAGTATACAGGGTGCAACAAAAGTGACAGTGCATCTCTCCATGTTCTAGCGGAGGGTTCGTTGTCCTTCCTCCATCGGGAGAGTGACCAGGTGAGACCCGCACTGCACATAAGAGGGGCTGGCACACGATTGGAGATGAAAGGCAGCTAGCAATTAGGCGTATACACAGACAGAACCGTCGGAAGAGTTTGGATCTTACTTGCAAGCAGACGGACCGAACGAGCGTCCGGTCCGGTCCGCTTTGCCGCGTGCGGCACCCTCCCCCCAGACCAGACGGACCCGGACCAGACTGGAGAGGGCCGTTGTTGTTTTTTTTTTTTGGGGGGGGGGGGGCTTAACTGGTCGTCTGGCGCACATTCGTGCGCCGCGCGGGTCCGGTCCAGCGGTCTGCCGCACGTGCGGAACCGCCCGGACGGCGTCCGCTTGCAAGTATGGTTTGAATGAATCTAGCCACTGCCTTGAGCCAGATTCGTTCAGCGCTGCTTAGACTCACGAGACAGATGTGCCCCGTCATGGCGGTATGACAGTTCAAGCTCATAGGTGCCCTCCCGCAGAATCCCGAGGGGATATATGCTGGAGAGCTGGGAAGAGGATTCGGAAGCAATTGCACACCAGAATTATCAATTATTCAAGATCCCGCTCGAGTGGGTGTAGCAGGCAAGAGAGAGAGAGAGAGAGAGAGAGAGAGAGAGAGAGAGAGAGAGAGAGAGAGAGAGAGAGAGAGAGAGAGAGAGAGAGGAAGGCGCATGTGTCACCAGTGGATCTGCGGAAGATTTCACAAGAGTTTTAAAAGGGTAAGCAGTGAAAGAACCTGGTCATGATCGTGCGCTAGGTGCCTTCGCTCTTGAGGATGCAAGGAGATGGCATCAAGCAAGAACTGTTAAATAAGTGATGGACGCAGCTGTGCGGGGTGTCCACATTCGTGCGCGCCAAGAAGAAGACGCACTACAGCAGACTGAGCAGAGCCAGTGGGAGTGAGCATCCTCTCATCCCAACTGTCTAAGCACTATCGACATAAACGAGTGTGAAGACGCAATTTGAAATGCCCCTACTTAGTAGCCCGTAAGTTACGAGCCCCAGATATAATGATCATTCACGTGCAAACATGAGTAAGGAGGGCTGTCCACAGAGAGAGAGAGAGAGAGAGAGAGAGAGAGGGGTGAAAGGAGCTATGGATGAGGCGAGCAGACTAGGGTGGAAGTTACGGATCATGAAAAAAATTGTCTTCTTGTAAATGAAAAAAATGGTTTGAGTGAAAGGCTGGGCTGCGCTCACTGAAATTCCGAAACTGCCACTAAACTTTACCGAAATTCCAAAAGTGCCGTTACGAGCCTGGACTACGATTCCAGCTATTTTGCCCAAGTTCTAGATGGGCTCCTTCAAGGAAGCATGCTCGTCAGTTTACCGATGAGCACTCTTTTTTTAAAACTCGACAGTCCTTGCTGAACGGTATCAGCGATTCAAGCTCAGGGGACTCTGTTTGTTAGCCTGTCCTGCGGGCCCAGAGACTCGAGCCCCAATTGGCTTGTTCCAGCTGAGTGAGTGACTCAAATTCAGGAGGCCTTGTTGATGGTTGGCTAATCCACATTCCATGATGGCCTTGCCGAACAAGCTCGAATACACAGTATCCTGACCAGTACTCAGGAAGTAAAGAGCCAGATCAGGGGATTCATCCGACACGCAGCAAGTACTCATGAGTCATGAGGCGGGCTCAAGAAAGGCTCGCCGAGCACGTATTGCAGGCTTCTGGTGTAAGTATATCCGTCCAGGGAAACTCAGACCTGGAGAGTCGGGCCAATCCAGTTTAAGCCGGCTATAGGAGCAGCGAGTACAGGCTAGGGGACTCAGCCAGCTCAAACTCAGTGGCAGTTATTATGGGACCAAGGACTTGACCCCTCAGTGACAGGCATGAAAGTTCTCCGGACCTGTGAACTCCGCTAAAAGGACAGACTCAACAAAGTTTGTAGACTTGACGAATGCACAGGGTTAGCAAAAATCTGTGAACTCAAGGGGCATACAGACTTAGGAAAGTCAGTGAAACCAAGATCAGATCTCAGAGAACTCAGCAGTGACGTGGCACACTGAGCAGAGGTAAAAACAAAACTCAGCAAACAGAGCGGGGACTAACGGACAGCAAATTGAACACGGGATCAACAGACAGCGAATTGAGCAGGGACTCAGTTGCCTCAGCTGGCCGAGCCAGTAGGGACTCAGAAGACTCGGTGGAGAGTCAGCGCCCCGGCGAAGAGTCGGTGGCAGTTCTCTTATTATTTTGGATCACAAGTCCGGGCCTAGGACCCGAGGCGACACTTGTCAGTTGGATAAGGATAAGGATCAGCGGTCAACAGTGACGATCGTGGGCTCCTAAGTTTCTCCTTTAATTAACACGGATTTATTTGATAAACATCGAGCTTTCATACTTTCTTTCTCACAGTTACTTTCCGTCCGTTGGCACTTGAAGCAAGAATAAGGAAAAATGAAGGAGCGGCGTGTTTGAACCTCTCCAGCGGGTGACAGATGCGGGGTAGGACAGGGGTTCAAACACGAGGGTTGACGAACCACTTCTACCGATTGAAACCGGCAGATATCGGTACCAGGACTCTGGGGTAGAGGTAACATGTTGATCATAAAGTAGTATTTACCTTCTCACTAGTGCTGTATCGCCGTGCCCCGTTGCTACAATGAAAAGACTGTTCGTCGGGAGGGCTTCATGGAGTGCGGCAACTCGAGCATCAACCATCCGTAACTGTTTCTCTAACTCAGCAGAAACCCTCGGCTCCATCCATGGTAGCCGGCGGGCAATTACATCTGATCCTGACGTGGTAGACTTCGCAAGAGCTGCTCCATTGCTCAAGTGTGTGACAGCATCGCTGCCTTCTGCGCAAGGATCGTCCTCTGCGTTGTCGGGTTCGTCGTCAATTGCCTCTGCTGCCGTATCCTGCTTTATCCTTCCTTCGATGGCAGTGGACGACGTGCATGTCATCATCGCTGCCAGCTCGGCCGCTTCCGTGGCGACTGCGTCCAAGCTCCTCGATCTCTGTTCGTAAAAAGATGACAGGTCCGAAAATCGCGCCCAGACAAATGAGACTTTGTCCGATTGCGCCTCTTTCGAAGCCTTGGAGAGAACGTCTTCGTCTGTCGAGCATTGAATAGCGGACGCTGTGCCCTTTACCAGCCTGTGCAGCGCCTTTGCTTTATCGACCAACGAGCACCTGCGTCCATATTCACCAAGCTGCGCCACAAGGCTCTCTCCCAGCTTTGAGCTTGGCTCCCCGAAAGACGGACCTGGCACAGATACCAACAACAACAAACAACAAAATAATAAAGCACATCACCGAGCCTGGTACGGACCGACAAACAGAGAGGCACCCACAAGCCTTGGTCGGCATCGAGCTGCAAATATGCACACAAAAGAAAGGCGGGCCTAATACACAGCTCCCATTTTTTTGGCGGAAGAGGTCCGCTCCGGCGGCTGCCTTTGTGACTTGGATGAGAAAACTAACAGATGCAACAAACTCCTCAACCTGGTTCAGCAAACGTTTCAACCGCTCGGATGGAGTCGTCATAATACATTAAAATCCACCTGGTCCAGATGCAGTCCACATGCAGATGCAGTGCAGTGCACCTGGTCCACGAATATTGCAAACGTCACACAGACTGAGTGAGTGTGATAACCAAGTGTGAAGATGGAGTCGTCATAATACAGCGAAATCGGGCCGAATACACTGAACTCATTTGACAAAATACATTGAAATCACGCCGAACACAGTCTATGACCCGAGCCTCAGCAAAGTACGGAGATGCTGGGCAGATAGTGATAAATGCCAGGAGGCTGTGGGACCAAGTGAAGGCAGAAGTCAGACCAGCCAGTCAGCATAGCTGAGAGAAGAGGCGGGAAGCATCAGCGATATCCACCCGCCTGAGAGAGAGCGACAGCGCGAGAGAGAGAGGGATGAGTCAAGTAAGAAGAGATTCTCAAATTCAGATGCGGACCGAGTCTACCACAGCGGTTAACTCATCTGAATGTTCGTATTCCAAGATCTGCGCCTGGGTTCAAACCTACCTGAGGTCCACCGACCCACATATAAAATCTACGTTCATGGATGTGTGTGTGGGTGGCGGGGTTTCAAACCTGTGTCACCTTTTCCTCTCTCATCTCCTCCGTCCCACTCTTTTTGGCGAAAGAAACAGAACATGCTTCCTGGCACTGCGGGTTTTCCGTCATCGGCGTTTATCAGGTCTGTGGCGGGTCCATTTCTTACATCCCCACCGAACACAAACTGCTCTGACTGGAGACTTGCCACGCGATGGCCTGCAGCCAGCCATGGCATAATGCTTTGGCACGCCGTGAGATACCCCACCCCAGGTGCAAAGAAACTAGTATTGTCGATTGAAGTCCCTCTTACCATTGTGAATCTTGAGCTTTGTCAAGTCCATGGCTGCCCTGGCGTCCTCGATACTGTCATGTCCAAGCTTCCGCCGGTCCTGAATCTTCCGCTTCAAGAACATCTCCGAAAGAATTCGTAGCGCCGGTCGAAACGGTGGTCCTCGCGGATGCGGGTAGATGAATGCCGTGTCGATCACCCGATGATGAACGATTTGCAATGCTTTGAGGTCGCTGTCGAGCGAGTGACCCACCAAAAATGTATCCGCCGATACCAACTTCAAGAAATCTTTCTGTAAATGCAAAAACCATTTGGCGGAAAACAATGAAAATCCATCAATGAGTGCATTTGCCCAATATGATGATGGTGCGACATGCAGGGTCACAGCCGAGGATAGGTTATCCAACTTATTATCCGCCGATATCAACTTCACGAATCAAGCCATCTTTTCAGTAAATGGGAAGAAGTTGAAATAAAAATAAAGAAAAACAAGCCACAAGCAACGACAGAATTCGCGATTATTATGATGATGGTCAAATGCAGTTTTTTTAACTTTTTTTTTTTTTTTAATGCGGTTTCACGACGAAGGATCAGTAATGTTCCTGTATCCAAAAGCACAGAAAAAAACGCCCAAGGGGCCTAGCGCAGCCGGTACGGCGCACACAAGTTGCATTCAGGAGGTGGTTTTTGGTTCCATAGTAGAATCAAATACCAATTGGCGGTTACGTGCGAGCCTGGGCATGCTTGGTCTCCTACGGGCGTAGCTCAGTCGGTAGGGCACACAAATTGCATTCAGGAAGGTTGTCGGGTTCAATGAACTTCAATCCGCATTGGCCTCACGCACGAGCCTGGGCATGGCCGGTGCCCTACCATCCATGTAGAGATAGCCGGCATCTTCCCAGGAAAGGTCGCTTAGTACATTCCCTCCCAAAACAAAGAAAGTCTGAAAAAAAAACGAAAAAAGAAGATCCTACTTTCAGAAAGAAAACGGTGCCCACCAGAACGGGCGCCTGCAATCACTATGCTGGCTTTGGGCCTCGCTCCACTACTCACCAAATGTGCAAAATGAGCATGAATCTTCCTCTACAACATGGAAATATACACCACCCTCTCTCTCTCTCTCTCTCTCTCTCTCTCCCAAAACTCCCCCGATGAGTCAGAGGAGGAAAAAGGTGTCCCAGCATTCTTTAGAGATTTCCGACAAACAAGTACCAGAGAATACTCTTTCTCCATTCCCAGTGTCTGGGCGGTGCCTGGGCCCAGACTGAGGGATGGTGTCTGGGCCAGGATCTTAGAAGAAGGAAGAGGGTTGTTGGTGATTTGCGTGCAGGTTCTTCGACATTTAAGACGGCAGACAACCACCACAATTGGCCACCGCCCTCCTAGGGTAGTGGGTTATATATTTGAAAAGGGGAAAACAAAAACAAAGTCATGAGCCACATGGTGTCAAGGGGCATACCTGTACATCTGCAAGTGTTGTAGTCACATCATTCAGCAACTCGGGCGTGATTCCACTGTACCTGAAGTCGACAAGCAAGAACAGCAGTTTAGCCCAAGGAATGGGTGAATATCCACACGGTAGCCAAAGAATAGCAAAATACAAGCCCAAAAAAAAGCAGCCAAAGAATATTCTAAGACTTCCCAAAGAATAGCCGCTCAAGATGGGTCCCTCTCCCGGCAACATGAGAGTTCACTCACTTCGCTATATGCCGGAAACGCCTTAAGAGTTGGAAGTTCCAAATTCATTGGCCAATCAGCAGGCTCGCCATAGTTTGATCGAAGAGGAGCCTCAGCGACTACAAGGCGAAGCAACTTTTGCCGCCTCTTAGTGCTGCGCAAATGGCATGGCAAGCGCCGTAACGTAAGCTGGCAGGAAAGTTGAAGATATAGTCCATAGACTCCATACCATCGATAAATTCATGGAGAAAGGCATCACATGTTCACTGTAGGTCTAGGCGTAGATTCTTCGGAGTCGGGGGAAGCTGCAAAGTTGTCTCTTAACACTGGGCTATTTGCTGGGAACCCCTATGAATCTTGGTCCTCCGAATTCTCACACTGAGGAACAATCCAAGATTCGGGGCAATCACTGCAAAAAGGTCAAAGCACCCTACGAGGACGTAGCACAATTTTTTGGAAAAAACTTGTCACAGTGATCTCTTTTCATAACTACCCTCAGCAGGAAACCAAAGTTGTAATTCAATTGTCATGTAGGCCTAAGATGAGCACTAAGGACCATGCGTGTAGTAAAAAAAATGCCCTTCCGTACAAGGCTCACTACGTACATGTAACCGAGCACGAGATGCCTACACCCCCATAAGCCATGATGGCCCACTTGTCAGCTGTGAGAGAGAGGCAAAGGGGGAGATACAGAGAGAGAGGACAAATGAAGACAGAAAAATGCCCTTCCGTACAAGGCTCACTACGTACACGTAACCGAGCACGAGATGCCTACACCCCCATAAGCCATGATGGCCCGATTGTCAGCTGTGAGAGAGAGGCAAAGGGGGAGATACAGAGAGAGAGGACAGATGGAGGAAGTGAAGACAGAAGAGGGCACATTCGCAATACGTTTTTAGGCCGAATCTGGCCAGCATTGCCGTTAGGTACAGGCAAGCAAGAGGAATGACACACAAGCGCAAAGGGATAACCATGATGTGCTCAAAGTTTGTTTATCAAAGGAGGGCATACTCGCAGTAACGTTTTGGACCGAATCTGGCCGGCATTGCAGTTAGGTTCCGCAAACAAGTTTCAGAGTGAGTACGTCCCAGGTTCGCTTAAACCACCATTACATTACCTCCATGCCTCTTTTTGTGGAGGTGATTCCCCCTGCGCGACAAGCTTCACCGAAGCACCAGCAACGCAACGTTTTCCCCCCATTGAGCTGGCGGAGCCATCCATCGAGGGTCCGGTAAGCCTGAGCCTCTGAAGACCCCAGAAAGTTACATTTTCGATTCTCGAAGTTGCCTGGGAAAGGTAGTGGTGTTTTAAGACCCCCCAGTCCAAATCCTGAGAAAGGGATAACATTAGGGGATAACCCCCTTTTGGGGGGGCGGGGGGGGAGGGGGGGAATAAAAATACAAATGGGAGAAGAAACGACGAACGAGCTGTTGTTGCACCCAAAAGAACTTAGCTCAGTAGGTACAAGCCCACCAACTGTTGACATGCAGGCCCGAGTTCATATCCAGATGATGGAACATCAGGAGTTTTTGGGGGCCCAGCATTGCAGTTAGGTACAGGCAAGCAAGAGGAACGACACGCAGGGATAACATTAGGGGATAAACCAAATATTTCTATAAAAAAGAACGAACTGCTGTCGCAATCGTCGATCAGGTTTCCACTCTACAGCTCAGCATAAGTAGGCAAAGGAAGGCCAATGCAAACGGCAACGTGAGACAAGGTAACTCCGTTCTCCGTGTCCACTACTTTCTCCTAACCATCCTCCGAATCCGCTGAACAATCTTCTGAGCGATCCTTTGAGCGATCCCCGGCAAATTGCCGGACACTATTGGTCCCTTCCTCTACAAGAGAGATCATCTGTATTTCCTACCATGCGCCATCGGCAAATCGATGACTGTCAGAAAACTTGAAAAAAGGACAGTAATGAATATTCATAGACTGTTTCAAAGGGCTATAAACAAACATTTGTGGATTGCTGAAAAGGGCAGTAATGAATAATCATAGACCGTTTCAAAGGGCGATAAACAAACATTCATGCATTGCTGAAAAGGGCAGTAAGTAAAAGGATAATTATTAATTTGTGGCCGGTTAAAGAGAACGCCTCAATTTCAAGTTGTCAACACTGAAGCAATTGCTCTTATGAGAATTATTGTTCATGAAGACACAATCTTAGTGACATATTATGGACTTCAAATCTGCAATATGAATGGAAATTACTAATGAGCAATTAATGAGCAATTACTATTTAGCATACTTGCAAGCAGACGGACCGGACAAGCGTCTGGTCCGGTCCGCTTTGTAGCGTGCAGCACCCTCCCCCCAGACCAGACGGACCCGGACCAGACCGGACGGGGCCATTTTTTTCTTTTTTGGGGGGGGGTGGGGCGTAACTGGTCGTCGGGCGAACATTCGTGCGCCACGTGGGTCCGGTCCGGCGGTCTGCCGCACGTGCGGAACCGCCCGGACGGCGTCCGCTTGCAAGTATGCTACTTAGTATTTGCTATTTACAATTTAGTTCAATAGGCAGAGTTCTATTCTAAACTCGCTGCCCACTCTGGGGTCAGCTAAAAATTGTACATTGCACCAAACCACAATCCGCAATTTTTTTTTCAAGTCAACGGTTGTATCAAGTTGAATCGGCTTTTTCTATTGTTTTTAATCAGCATATTTGTAACCCTATCGTACAACGGTACTACAACCACACGCAAAATTTGAAAATTCAAAATTGCCGATTTTTTTTTTGGCTATACCTAGGCTACCAGCCGGGCCGCCCGGGTCCCGGGTGGCCAGCCCGTGCAAGGACCAGGGAAGGTCCCAGCAAAAAAAAAAGAATCAAAAAAATCCCAAAAAAAACTATGTTATAAAGAAACATAAACTGAACAACTTTCGCCTCAGGGTCACATCGAAATTCTTCACCAAATTTAGAATAAAAAATAAACATTAAAAATATTTCTTTATTTTTATTTTTTTGGCCCGGCCGGGCAAGTGACCCCGGGCCACTCTGGTAGCCTAGGNCCCCGGGCCACTCTGGTAGCCTAGGTCTATACGGTAAACCGTAGAGGGGGGGGGGGGGAGAGAGAGAGAGAGAGCATACGAGGGGCTGTGACAGACTGTTTCGTCGGAGTTTCTCTGGTTCCTCAGGAGCCCGAACCCTCCTATTACACTATATATATAAATTGTCAAACAGAGCTGCCCAGCTAACCGTAGGCAGAGAGAGAGAGGGAGAAGAGGATAACAAACGAAGGACTGTGACTACATACATAGTTTATATAATCGAACTGAATTAAATTTAGCGACATCGTAGCATGCCTACTATCACAGCGCTATCGAGTTTTCATTCAAAAGGAAAGAAATAAAAATGACAGGAGAAACAACTCTTTTCAATCTTTCTCAATTTTATTTACTAGCATTCCGATCATTCCCGTTCGATCTGTTTTTTCAGAAATGACATTCCCATGTGATCTGTTTTTCAGAAATAACCTTTGCACGCGATCTGTTTTTCAGAAATAACATTCGCATGCGCTCTGTTTTTCCGAAATAACATTCACATGCGATCTGTTTTTCAGAAATACCATTCGCATGCGATCTATTTTAATTTTTAACTTCTAAGAGCACCCATTTCCTTTTCGCTTTGGCCAATTGACAGGGGATTCAGGGCAAAAAAAAAAAAAAACACATGTTTGCACTGAACTTGAAAATGGAAGACATCAGTCCTTCGGATCAAATAGGAAACTCTAAAAACTTTCTGTTAAAAAAAAAAACATGTTTGCAACTTCGTGTTAAACAAATTGGAACAATACACAGAGAGAGAAGATTAGCTTGGCCCCTGCGCAAGGATGACACGCATACATCGAGAAATGGTAGGAGGGGCGGAAAAAAAAAGAAAAAAGAAAAGAAAAAGGGAAAAAAAAACAACAACCATGAGATAGTGATGATGACAACGAAATTATGAGTTAACTGGAGGACAAACAAATGATGAGACAGCTCATGACAAAGAAACAATGCGTAATAAAAAAAATATAAAAAAAATAAAATAAAAAATAAAAAAGAAACAATGCGAACAGGAAAATTACCGCCACAACGTACTGGGTCAAATAATCTGTTATCGGATTCTTCGGCTTCACCAGCCGATCAAGAAGCACCTTATTTTGATACACACACAAGAAAAAGAAAAAAACAAACAAACCAACAAACAAACAAACAAAAATCAACACCAAAAGCACACAAAACCAACATTATAAAAATGGGCACACAAAACCAACATTATAAAAATGGACACCTAAATAACAACAGCAACATCAGTTCTTTTTGCCACTGGTTTCTTTTTTCCTTTTTTGTTTCCTCCCGCTTTTCTTTTTATAGCATGGTTACGCCGGATGCCAACACTGGGAAAATGAGTGTGGCCCTGATCGACGGCTGGCGCTGTTCTGTTGCAGAAGGTTGACCCCCCCCACCCTCTCCAAGTAGCCGAAAAGCCCTGCCTCTCGGTTTTTGTTTGTCGCAGAGGACGTGACCCCTGGTACTCAGTCAGGAAGATTCTCAGTCTGGGAGGTTCCCAGACCCGTCTACACAGATGCGGCCTCCAGAAAGTGACAAAAGGGAGGAGGCGTCTGGATTCCACACAATAGGAGGCACTAGTAGCTGCCCGCAGTGAGCGGCGGTCATAGGAAAGAGGAGGAATGGATAGTTGTCACGGATAGCAGCTCCAGCGGCCACACCCGTAGATGGGCCGAGTTTTAAGGGAGGTGGTGTCGTGCAAACTGGCAGTACTTACGTGGTGATGGCCAAGGAGCACATTCATGGTGGTCAGACCCTGCCGCATTGTGAGGATTGTGGAGACAGAGAGAGTGTGAGGGAGAGAAGTAGGTGTGTAAAGACAGTAGGAAAGTAGCGTAGGCCACGACATCATAGTTGGCTTCTACATCAGTGGAAGCGAGAATTGGGGCTTCCTTTGTCAAGAGACTTCAGTGTGCAGTGCGCCTTAGGGGCGCGCACAAAAAAACTGTGGGTCCCATCAGGTCCCGAAACATTAGTGCGCCACGGGCACTTCAGCAAAGCTTGGCGTGCAGTGCGGCGCTGCCAGGCGCGGGTCTACTGGAGGGCAGGGTTTAAACTTCAAGCCAGAAATAGCACTCTTCATCAAGTTCATTCGTTTTGTTCGTGTTTCGTGTGGCCTTGTGCCTCCTCAGATTTGTCCAAAACTGACAACCCACTTTCTTTCTTCCGTCTCATTCTGCTTGTTCAGCTCACATCTCCCTAATTCCTTAGCTAACCTATGTTCAGCCCATAGGAATAGCCTAAGATGATTTTGTGCATCTATACTCTGTGAAACGGTTTTCACCTTTTAGCAGTAGCGGATGCAGTACCCAGGGTTCGATCCCTAGACCTCACCCTACCCATGTACAGTATCTGTGTAGACCCCGAGAATTGAACCTGTGACCTGTGTATTCGTAGGCAGTTGGTAGACCTGTCGTAGGTCCATAGACAGCAGGGGTTCGATCTGTAGGTCTATAGCGTAGGAGTCTTAGTGAGTTCTGGAAGCTTAGCTGTAGACCTTCTAGAAGGTAGGCAAGTGGGCAAGTGGTGAGGCAAGTGGTGGACTAAACCGCAGTGCAACAGCAGTGCAACGGCGGTAGGATAGCGGTGAGTCCACAGTCAGTCAACGGAAGGTCCAGTCAGTCCCAGTCCGGTCCAGCAAGTACCACAGGGGGACTGTAAGCACCAAGGGCCGATGGCAAAGGGCAGACCAACGAGTTTCTGAAGTATAAATCAAGAGGCAGCGCCCAGCCATTCATTCATTCCTGCGTGAGCCAGGCGGAAGCGCTGCCACAGCGACTTGTGCAAAGAGGTCTGCAGATGAGCCCGGAGGACGCAGTGGGCTAGAGAGATGGAGTTTGCATAGCGATAGGGTAGATGCAGCGACAGCTGCCATAGCTGTAGTTAGTAGTGAGTGTGTGTGTGTGTTCGAGTGTTAGAGTGATGCGTGTGGGATATCCAGGGTGATCCAGTGTATGTGAACAGTGAGATGTTTGGGCGCTGAAGTCGCCATAGCCAATTGAGAGTGAACTCGTATCTGAAAGCCATATTTCTGAGATTTGAGTGGGCGCATGTCGCCAGTATGCTGCGTTGCTGTTTACATGCATGAAAAGTGTGTTTGAAAACGAGTCTGATTGCATCTGTACTAGTTTATAGGCTATCCCTAATAGCAATTGCTCGGCCAGACACCTCCTGCATATAGTATCAAAGGGCAACAACCTGGGGATAGGTAAGCTATGCTGGGCCGTCACCCTGCCAGAATTGAGTAACAATCTATGCTGGGCCGTCACCCTGCCAGGCATGCTCGGGCCAGTTGGGCAGGGGGGGGGTCGCCCGGCAAAACCAGATGGATCAAAAAAGGGGCAGGGAATCAAGGATCCTGAAAAAAAAGACAAAAAAAAAAGACTTCAGGCCAGGACTGCGCTTGGCCTAAGCAGTCAGAATCCAGTCTTGACTTCGATTTTAGTGATGGGTCATCTAGGGGGGGTTGGGGGGTATAAACAGTGACTAAAGGGGTTTAACAGGGTACATTTCGACTCGTGTGTTCTCATTTATTTTCCATCTGAAAATTAACAAGGAATTTCGAGGTGGCCCTCAGCCAAACGTTGTTTGTATTGCAACTTTACACATCATTTTTTCCCCCGGTTTTTTAATCTTTTTTATTTTCTTTTTTTTAATATTCTACGCTGGGACAGCCCGGGACATTGCCCGGGACCCTGCCCACCCCAGGCCGCCCGGGATGGTAGCCGGGCGACCTTCCCCCGGCCGGGCCGCTCGGGGACCGGCACTGGTAATAATTTAATAACACTGTCATGACGGTGATTCCAATAGTTAGCATAAAAGAGAGTAAAATAGAGATGTTAAACAGTGATAAAAAACAATACAAAACATAATCGAAAATCGTTTGCATTACAAAAAACTTCAGAAGAAACGTCCACAACACAAAGACGGAAAGACACCCATCACCATAGGAAATATATCATTCCTTGCCATTTCATGAAGTAAACCGGATTCTCATCTCACCCTCCAACACTAATACCAAAACGCCAGTAACCAACCACACAGCAGCGATCTCAAGAGAAACACCCTCCTCTTCTCCTGAATTATACACTCATTGTTCATCTTCAGTCCTCTCTCTCTCTCTCTCTCTCTCTCTCTCTCTCTCTCTCTCTCTCTCTCTCTCCTGAATCATACATTGATTGCTCATCTTCAGTCCTCTCTCTCTCTCTCTCTCTCTCTCTCTCTCTCTCTCTCTCTCTCTCTCTCTCCGGCAATATATTTGTGGGGGCACAATATAAAACGAGATGTATGAGATGGGACAATACATTTGTTCCATTTTCAAAACTCAATCAGTTACAGCAGCAATCAAGTTCGAAACTCTAATGAAACACACAAACAATTGACCATTCATCTGCCAGATGTGCCGATTTTGGCTGTGCCTTCCATCATCCTCACTTTCTTCTCCACTGTTTTTCCCAGTGCAACGAGTTGACAAGTGAGAGCAGACGTACCTTTCCGTTTGTGTCCACCATGGAAATCCGTGTCACTTCCAAGCCTTCCTGAGTCTGACACTGCAAGAAGAAACATGAGAGGATGCTCACCGTTACATCCTCCTCTAACAGACCCACTTTTTTTTTGTGTGACACAATCTCCCCACAACAAGCAAATCGTCGACCTTGACGTGCCCACAAACCAATCACACATGCGATCTAAGAAAAACACGAGAACCACAAGCAATCTACGTTGATCATTGACGTGACCACAAACCAATTCCACACATACTCCCAGAAGAACATCAGGTGCAGAGATCTGATCTGAGGTGCAGAAAGCTGCAGGGAGGAAGCAAACAGCTGCACAGTTACGTCTCTCAACCGTCAGACGAATTATGACTTCATTCGACACCATCTCTGCCAAGAACATTTGCAACAAGCAATCTTCCATTATCATGGATGAGACCACAAATCAATTCCAGATATGATGTCAGAATAGCATCAGGTGCAGGTATCTGAGATGCAGAAAGCTGCAGGGGGGAAGCAAACAGCTGGCCTGGCCTCAAGAATTACCCCCCTGCAGCTTTCTCCATTTCAGATACCTGCACTTGATGCCATTCTTTTGAGGCCTGCAAACAGCTGGCCTGGCCTTGACAGAAAAGTCCTGGATATGGAGAAGGCAGAAGCTGAAAACTGTTCAACAGAAATAGACATGGAGATTTCTCTTTCTCCATTTGCTTTTCAAGAAATAGCCCTCAAGCTGATAACATTGATAAATCATCCTCTCTTTCTTTTTTTCTTTTCTTTTGGAATGCGATAGGTCGCGCAGTTCTTAACTCTAGATATAATATGAACAAGAAAAGTCTGTGTCACTGTCTCCTCTATCTCCCTTCTGAACTGCAGGACAAGCCATCCCATTATCTCGCCTCCGAACTACAGGACAAGCCATCCCATTCTTCTCTTTCTCAAACAGCCTCTCTTCCCAGAAACATGTTGTTTACCCGACCCTTGAGCTGCGCATAGCGTCTTGTTTCACAGCAGCACGCTCTCGTTGTAATGATTGGCAATGAAGGTCCACAAACAAGAGACTGAATAGGATATAACAGTCCACAAAAGAATGACATACTATCTCACATGAAAGACGTACCATCTCACAGTCCAGAGCAGCCATCTCATGAAAAACTTTGCCACGCTCGGGGGGCTGAGTAAACAGAAACCCTGTAAGCACAGGTATACAGAAACAAACAACGGCAATTCAAAAACTTGGAAAACACATTTTTCACTCAACTGACAGCACCGTTCTCCTTCCTCATGATTCCGTTCCTGGAAGAGCAGACTGGATGAAAAAGACAGAGAGAGAGAGAGAGAGAGAGAGAGAGAGAGAGAGAGAGAGAGAGAGAGAGGAGAGAGAGAGAGAGAGCATTTGTGGTAAGACAGACATCGCTTTCTTCTCCACTTGCTGCAGCTTCATGCGCATTTCATGATCCCTCCAAAGTGAGGAATGCAATCAAGTTGGGATATTGGCTGCGGTCATCTAGATGTTTGCCCGTATCCGTGAAGAAGAATCAGTCTTTCATGACCTTTGGAGTTCAGGCTAGCTTTATGGAGGATGCAAGCACAGTTGTCAAGGGCAGTTTGGCAAACGTACATTTAGAAGGGATGTGCGTGTGCATGATCATCTTCAGATTCCTCATGCATATCAACTGTCCTTCGTTCATGCGAGAAAATCCGCCAATAAATGCTTGTTCCAGACCTCCGTTTCGTATCCACATGGAGATTCAATTCAACTTCCCAGAGCAACATCCCAGTGCTCTCTCTCTCTCTCTCTCTCTCTCTCTCTCTCTCTCTCTCTCTCTCTCTCTCTCTCTCTCTCTCTCTCTCTCTCTCT